TTGGATTTTCATTTGATATTTCAGAATCTTCTCCTGGTTCATTATATTCGTCTACATCAGACTCTGTTGTTGCAGGAGGAACGCTTGTTGTTATTTTTCTTTCTCTGCTTTTAGACTTCTTCCTGTTTATCTTCCCCTTGCCTTTGCCCTTTCCATTCTTTTCGTTTTTTCTCCTTCCTTTCCTTGTCTTTTTCCTGTTGTGTTTGACCTTGTTATTCTTCAGATTCCTTGGAGTTTTTTGTTTTACAATCTTAAGAATTGTAGTTGTTGTATCAGGAATGTGGGTTGTAATAGTTGACACTTTATATTCCTCACTGGGCATTTCAGGTTGCTCTTTTGAAATTTCAGATTTGTCACTTGGCTTCTCATATTTGTCACTTGGCATTTCAGGTTGCTCTTTTGAAATTTTAGATTTGTCACTTGGCTTCTCATATTTGTCACTTGGCATTTCAGGTTGCTCTTTTGAAATTTCAGATTTGTCACTTGGCATCTCATATTTGTCACTTGGCATTTCAGGTTGCTCTTTTGAAATTTCAGATTTGTCACTTGGCATCTCATTTGTCTCACTGGGCATTTCAGTTGCTGTATTATTCATTATAAATGTTTCATTTGGAACTTTTGATTTCTCACTTGGCATTCCAAATTCTTCACTTGGAATTTCGTATTCTTCACTTGTCATTTCATATTTCTCGTGTGGCATATCCAATCCCCCACTGGATATTGCAAGTTGCTCATTCGGCATTTCAAATTGATCATTTGACATTTCAGATTCTTCAATTGACGTTTCGACTTCCCCTCTTTGTATATTTTCAACTGGTGCGTTTGACGAAGAGGTTGGAACTGATGTTTTCTCAGATCCTATCAATTTCTTCAGTTTCTTTCTTTTCCTCCTCTTCTTCTTCTTCCCTTTCCCTTTCTTTTCATTTTTCCTCTTTCTTTTCTTTTTCTTTTTTCCTTTCATCTTGTAGCTATTTTGATTTCTTGTTACGTTTATCGTAGTAGTAGGAACTGTTGCAGCAAATGTTGGAATTATTGATGTAGTAGTCGAGATAGTAGTGGTTAGGAAACTGGTTGAAATTGTAGGAATTAAAGCTTTGGTAGTTCGGGATGTAGTTGTAGTTGTTGGAATCAAAGTGGTAGTGCTTGGAATCGTAGTCGTTTGGACAGTAGTCGTAGTTGCTCGGGTTGTAGTCGTAGTTGTTGGGACAGTAGTCGTAATAATTGGAATTGTAGTCGTAGTAGTTGGAATTGTAGTCGTAGTTGTTGGGACGGTAGTCGTAGTTGTTGGAGTAGTGGTTGGAATAGTCGTTGTAGTAGTAGGAATTGTAGTCGTAGTTGTTGGGACAGTAGTAGTAGTGGTTGGAATAGTCGTTGTTGTAGTAGGAATTGTAGTCGTAGTAGTTGGGGCAGTAGTCGTAGTTGTTGGAATAGTCGTTGTAGTGGTTGGAATTGTAGTCGTAGTAGTTGGGACAGTAGTCGTAGTAGTTGGAATGGTCGTTGTAGTAGTAGGAATTGTAATCGTTGTAGTTGGGGCAGTAGTCGTAGTAGTTGGAATTGTTGTCGTTGTAGTTGGAATTGTGGTTGTTGTAGTTGGAATTGTGGTCGTTGTAGTTGGAATTGTGGTCGTTGTAGTTGGAATTATGGTTGTTGTAGTTGGAATCGTGGTTGTTGTAGTTGGAATCGTGGTTGTTGTAGTTGGAATTGTGGTTGTTGTAGTTGGAATTGTGGTCGTTGTAGTTGGGATTGTGGTCGTGGTAGTTGGGGCAGTAGTCGTGGTAGTTGGGACAGTAGTCGTAGTAGTTGGGACAGTAGTCGTAGTAGTTGGGACAGTAGTTGCAATAGCCTTTGTGGTACTTGGTACTGGTTTTCTTCTGGACTTCTTTTTCTTTTTCCGACGGCCATGTTTTGCTTTCTTGATTTTATTATTCTTCACCTTTTTCTTTTCTGTGTTCTTTTTCTTAACTTTCTTATTATTCTTTCCTTTGGAATTTTTTTTCTTTCCTTTCTTCTTCCTCTTTGATTTTTTCTTTTTTCTTTTTTTTCTTCTTGCTTTTCTTTTAAATCGTTCCAATCTTTTATCTATAAGACGTTAATATAGCTTTTTAGGCCAGATTCATATCAATATCTCAATATCTCTAACCTACGTCTACTTAGAAAACTATTCTCATACCGGTACCGGTAATGTGTTTCTTACAATTATATCAAAGTTAAATTTTAGAACGCTAAACTATTCAAAGGGTTTACGTAAACTTTACTAAGTGTTGGAGAACTAATGTACGCAAAATTGCAGAGAATAATGTCTCCTTAGTCCTTCCTTAGCCCTAGGCTTTAAGGTTTTAACTAAAATATCGAGCTGCTCAACACACTTAACAATTAGTACACGTTTAAATCACCCTCTTTAATACAAAGTTCAGGTTGATCAAATTTAGATTTAGATGCGTAAAAATCAAAAATATTTTATTATGGTCTGTTTATAGAAATCTTTCATTAATTTACAATTCATAACTATTTGATGAAAATTTTGCATATTGCATAAAGAGAAAAATTATTTCATTACAAACCTGATTGTTTAGAAATAGCACGTTCCAAAGGATTTATCACTCTGACTCTCTCCTCTAATGTCTCATTTGAGCTGGACGTCGAGATAGCATTTTTCGCACAGGTTTTGGTTAAGCACGTCAAATTTCTATTTGAAATATGTCCAAAGTAGATTAACATCGGGTTTGTGGTACTGTTATTCAAATTTAACCCATCTACTACGTTTACTAGTAATATATAGGTAAACAATACAGTTAAAGTCGAAAGAATAACCTTACGAAATAACATCTCGACTTCTCATGGACGCTGCCATCTTGGATTATTTACCATAGAGATTTGGTTGCTACCTTCATGACGTCATAATGCATGATGTAAAACCTTTATTGCTTTTCTGTAAAATCTTAAACCCGAAACTACTTACGTCTAAGAGGCTTGGAGGCTTACCAGCTGGTAGAAAGGATCCTTAACTGTTAACCTACGTTGTCATCCTTGTAAAATATAGTTGTTTCTTTCTTTCTCACACTTTCCTTTTCAGTATTATTTTACGGTCATCGTGTTCAATCTCCACTATTCACATGCAGGCGATCGTTCATTTTAACGCCATGTTCAATAATTATTAATTATTCAGGCATTGCGGGGCCATGGTTTTTACCCCTACTTTAGTTCTAATGAATTTGAAAATATGATTTGCTAACGTTTTTGTCTTAAAATAGCCTACGAGTCAGAATGCGCCATATCTATTCTATTTTTATAAAAAAAGATTGGGGGAAGAAAACTCTCTCAGACGTTCCACTGAGCTGACGCATTTTGAATCTCAAACTGGACAGGTTATCCCCTCAACAAGTCAGTTCGCCCCTATTTTTACCTCTAGTCTCGGGAGACTATAGATAACAAAGGACTATAAGGCCTAAATAGTCAGAAGCTCAGTTACTTTCTTATACTGTATCCCACTACCAATCCACTTGTCAACTGCAGGACCATCCGTCTACTTGACGACCGTGTTCAATTCACTTGTCACAGCACTAGCACTAGCACACACCGTAGCTTGCAGTTAAATAGGAGACGGGTGGGGTTTGAACGAGGTGGGAAGGGATGTTTACCAAAGCCTTACCAACGACGTGTTCAATTCACTCGGAAGGAGTTGGTTTCTTGTTCAAACGAGGCTATACTTCATAGGGCTTAGGTCATAGTTTGATCCGATACAAATTCAGCTGTTACAAAAAATGAAATTTATTCGAGTATAACAATAGTATCATAAACATGAATGATATTTGAATGATAATTTTCCAAAGACCATCTATGCATCAACAGTGGCTTTTCTTCTTCATGGCAGTGGTGGCAGCGGCGGCGGCGACGGTGGCGCTGGTGGATGCTGCTCCTCTTCCATTGGAGCTGTTGATACTTGTTGATCCAATTCTGTCAGTTGAGCCTCTGAAAATGAACATTATTATATGAATGTATATATACCGGTATACATGTATTTCAGTTAAAACATGGTCTACGCAGTGCTGTTGAGTGGGAAATGTGTTTCTGTGTAAAACTTATAAAATAAGTAAAACCTGAATATTAAACCTTTGAAATCTTTTTCTTGATACTCAATAAATCGATCATTCCGTTGTATATTATTTTTTAGTAAGTAAACCAAAATCAAAGCTAATCGGAGTCAATTACAATGAATTCACGTCTCACATATTTTTCATACAGAAGACGATTAATTCAGAATTTCTGGCAATCGGAAAGGAAAACTTCACAGACCTTGTTCCATTTTAGCTTTTGAGACTTTTTGAACTAACTCTGTCAACTGATCCACTGAAAAGCATATTAATAAATTTATCAAACTTGAAAGTACATATACACGTATTTCGGTTGAAAATGGTGTAGGCCTACACAGTGCTCTTGAGTGGGAAACTATATGAGTAAATCTTATTAAGATTTAAGTAAATTTAGTAAAACCTGATTATGTCTTTCTTGATACGCTATGCATCGTTCATTTCTAAGTATTAAAATAAATCTCATCTTGTATGCGGAGATAACATAATATACATTACGTTATTGTGGTCTGGTTAAGAATTCTTTTGCGGGAGTCATTTTCGGTTAACTCTTTCTGGAATTGCAAGAACCACGGGCATCAGACGAAGATAGGCTACAGGCTAGAAATCTTCTTTACAATCCCTATAAGAAAAGTCTTTATCTGCTCCTCACAATCAAGATACTTGTGAGTTTTCATACAGAGGACGATCATTACAGAATTTCTGGTTATCACAAAGGAAAACTTCACTGACCTTGTTCAACTGATAATTTGGCCTCTGCTACTTTATCAGCTAATTGTTCAATTTGTTCATCACTTGCTGAAAGGTTTGAGAGACGTTTATTATATACAGTCGAGAGAAAGCACACAAATTGTAAAATTGTCGAAGTTCTTGTCGCGATGGCTGCAGAATCGTTGCCCAGGTCAGCCATCATTGAATTAGACACAGGCGATCTCAAGGTAAGATGGCAGGTTGTCATTGGCTGAGAGAACTGAAACGTACTGGTCGCTCGCAAAAAGCCATGAAAATACTTGATGGTTCACGGGAGTCAAAATGGTCACTGGAATCAGAGTAATCACAGAGCGTGATTTCCCGAGCAAGACGTATTTTTTAGCACTCATAGGAAGCAAGTAGGTCGCAATACAGTATGAGGGAAACTGAGTAAAGCTCTTTCTTTCTTAGTTAATGTTACAAACACTCAGCTATACACAATGGCTACCGTAAACAAAATAAATACACTAACCTTTTGCCTCAGACACAGGAGCAGCAACTGCTGAAACTGCCGAAACTGCTGAAACTGCAGAACCAGAAATTCCTGAAACTTCAGAACCATAAACTCCCGAAACATCAGAACCCCAAGAAGAACCAGCGGTTTCGGATCCTGTAATAAATTGACATAATGTTATTTACATAAGTGGTTTATCATGCTACATTTCAATCTGCATTTAAGGAACGGAAGAATACAACTGGATAAAATGGAATTAAATAGGTAAAAGGTTATGACCTATTCATTGAATTGAAAATAAAAAACAACTTTTTATAGAATTTGTAGTTCGTACCTTCACTTCCTTCACTCATCATACTGGCATCACTTTTGCCACCTTTTATACCTTTCTTAGCCTTTCCTCCACCTAGCTTAGATGCTTTCGTCCCTGAAGCCTTGTCGATGAGTTCATTCAATTTTTCAATTGTTGCCTGTTTCTCAACTACAATATAAATTTATTCAGATTTAAATATTATAGTAAATCTAGAGCGCCGTAAATGATGTACTACATAATGCAGTATTAAGGTCCGTGCAAATATGCCACATATTGCGAATCAACGACTTAGTTAGCAAGTCATCCTCAAGAGGGTTCATCACATTCTGTAAATCATCGAGCTATCCCGACGGTTCTCAACGACTTAAAGGTTTAGGTTGTACATCGATGGATGGAAAACGATGGTGGCTGTTTGCCCTGTTCTAATGACATAGCCATGTCAGACATGTAGAACATATGTGTGTGTAAACTGCCGTAGTGTAGATGTCAAATCATCAAGTCAGATTTCCATTCTGTAGTGTGAAACGGGATGAAAGTCAATAGTTAAAAACCTTTCATTATGACTTTGTTTACTGTTTAAATGCTATAATTAACAAAACATACGCTCGACTTCTATATCCTTAATGGTATAAGCCGGTGCTTTTTTCTTTTGTTTGGAACAGCAACCACAAAACATTTGATTACTGAGAGCCATCACACCGGGTACCGGCTCCGGCACTTTACCAAACCTCTTGTCTCTCCTAAATTTAGCTAACAGTTGCGCCCTGAAAGAAAAGTATCAATCTGATGTTCGCCACACTTATTCCATGTAACGAGCAATAATCAATTCAAATAAAATTCTTTGCTCTCGAAACCGGTATTTAATATTTGCATAGAGACTATGCATAGAATATACTTCTCGATTCAATGGCATCATGGCATTGGTACAAGTTGTTTAGTTTTAAGAGTGTACGATGGTCACTTGGACATTTCAATCAATATGCACATTGTACACCCAAAACATATGTGAGAAGACTAAAGAGTCTTCCTTCTATGATAATGAATTGCTTACCGTTTGTTTTTGACACGAACACAGTGTATAGTGAGAATAAGAGCAATCACTACTGTAACAGGTATGACAGTTGAAAGTGATATGATCAACGCCAGATTGGCGTCATCTTCTTGTTTAGCTTTATGTTTCTTATGTTTCTTAGGTTTTCCCTGATCAGACTTCAATTTGATTTTCTCCGCACCTTTAATATATATACCAAATTCATTATGATTATTCAAGTCCTTCGAAAGAATAACTTAAGAATGTGAAATGAGAATGTTTGAATAAATATTCGGTAAAAATTGAATTGAATTTTGAAATCGAAAATATATTGGAAATAACTTACTAAATTCGCAGTGCTTCCCTTTTCTCCCTGCTGGACAAACACACTTATAATCTTTGATAGTAGATCCCAATTTCTCACATATACCATTATGACGACATGGTTTTAATTCGCAAGGATCTAGAATGGGACAGCAATAATTTCATTACCATAAATTAAACTAAAACTGTTTTTTCTAAATGCACAAAAATACGGATGGAGACGCTTTACATACATACAAAATTCGGTGATGTTATTTTATGAAAATTGTGGAATCACTACCGATTTTTCTTCCAAATTCAATAATAATTATATTAAAAGTCCGGTTGACTCGCTTTGTGTGGTTAGTAGTTTGGTTTTAATTGTATACCGTATTTAAGGCAAATTTTAATTACCAATCTTTGTCAGTGTTTTATCTGTTTTCTTTTTGATACTGCTCAATTCCTTTATTTCCTTCATCTTCTCTTTATTTACTGGCATTGTTGTTTCAATTTTCACTACAAATTTTAAAAAAATATATCTTTCACCAAAAAATACAAAGGAAGTGAACGCAAGGATAACGGATTATACGTATTTCAGACAACTACAAATATCCATCAGTGTGGATAATGTAGGCTACTTCTTCAAAATGTCAAGTTATTACAAATTCCGTAAAATACCTTGACAACATTTATTATGCACTTTTCCTTTTTTTCTTTGAAAGTCGTAGACACAAACAATATTTCTCTCTAGTCAGAGTTAAATATAAAGGCAATAAAATGCTTTGTTATAAACAACAATTATTCCATCCGTTTTTGGTGGAAAACGAAAAGACAATCGTGTTCTGAAAATCAAAACATGAGTTCTCTAATTGGTTGTATTCACCAGCGTACAATACCATCCAATTTTATCTCTGCATTTACTTCCGTGATGTGCCTGATGACATCAGTTGAGTTCGTCAAAACTCGACACTGTGAAATGCGTGAACTTAAACTTGACCCTTTTTTTATATTGAAAACGAGACTAAACGCTTGGACCCTTTCCAGGGCTCTTACCTTTAACTGGATAAATCTTTTTCAGTTCAGGTGAATTGACAGCTGAAAAGGGAAGAGTGAGTTCATAATTAACATATATATCAGGTAAATTATTCCGAAGGCCAAGACTAGATTTTATAGCTTTCCAACCAAAAGAATTGGAGGAAATCAACTTGATTAACGGTAAATCTATGCTGTAGCCTAAGCATGATTCATGACTTGGAAAACCAAATTTGGAATTGCTTTGAATTCTTTTTCCCATGTGAATCCTGTTGGGCAATCAGCTTATAATTGAGTTCAGTGTAACCTTACCATCATCCTTCTCTTCTTTAATCTTCTCTAATAATTCTTTGAGATTATCATCTGACTCTTTCTTGCCTTCAGGCTCTTTTTTACTCTTTATAATTTTCTTTCCTTTGTCTTTTTTCTTGTCATATACCTTTTTGCAATTTTTCATGCAATTTCCCTTTTTGCCTTTTTTCTTGCCATTTCCCTTTTTGCCTTTTTTCTTGCCATTTCCCTTTTTGCCTTTTTTCTTGCCATTTCGCTTTTTGCCCTTTCTCTTGCCCTTTAGTTTTTTGACATTCTTTCCTTTCTTGCCTTTGCGCCCCTTCTTTTTCTTGCGTTTACCCTTTTTCTTACCCTTTTTAATTGTCTTTCCCTTCTGGCCTTTTTTCTTGCCCTTTCGTTTTTTTCCTTTCTTCTTTTTCATGCCTTTGCGACCCTTTCTTTTCCTGCCTTTCCCTCTCTTCTTTTTACCCTTTTTCGATGCTCTTTTGACACGAGTAAAACCTGAAAAGTTCCACATAAAATAATTTTAATTCGAATTGTAGTTATCTCAACTTATATCCATACCTTCGACAGCAAACGATCATTGTTTCAAGCCAAAGGTACTGGCAGAACATCGGTGTAATGCCTGATCTTACGGTGGTTCGTATACGACATCATTATAAAACTGGAATATTATTATAAAACATAATTTTCAATTAAAAACTTGAATTTCCATCCGGGTGGAAAATAATTTTCACCCAGGTGATAATTCTAGAATTTTGAATTAAAAACTTGAATTTCCACCCGGGTGAAAATTAATTTTCACCCAGGTGATAATTCAATAATATTTTATAAAAAAACTTGAATTTCCACCCGGGTGAAAATTAATATTTACCCAGGTGATACTTCTCGAATTTTGAATTAAAAACTTGAATTTCCACCCGGGTGAAAATTAATTTCACCCAGGTGATAATTCAATAATATTTAATAAAAACTTGAATTTCCATCCGGGTGAAAATTCAATGTCGTATACGAGCCACCGTAGATCTAGCTGTTCGGATAACTTTTTTTGATGCCAACAACTAGTTTTCTTTTAAAATGAAATCGGAAAAGATTAAAATTTATACCGTATGAATACTTTTTCTCGGCTGGCGGTAGCCTACCTACAGACCTCCTCGGGTATTCTACCTACTACTCGATTTGTTGGGTGGATCTAGTGACTGTAACTTAGACAAGACTAGACTAAGTACTACCTACTTTTAGTTTACTCATATTACCGTTACTAGCTAGATATAAGAAAAAGAGTGCAGTGTCGAGTGCCTGTACTTACTCGTTCCGTTTTTTGGTTGAATTTCTTGTTTGGCCGTCCATTGTGTCAAGCTAAATTCTCTGATATCACCAGGCAACACAGCATTTTTAGCATTTGTAGAGTTTTCATCTAATTTTGGATCAGAAACAGTTGAAAATGAAGCCAGACTGGTGAGACCATCGAAGCCGATGTCTTTCGATTCCTTCCCATCCAAGTTTAAATCTAGATCTATGGGAGAAACTTTACCGTATATAGCAAAAACACATCCAAGTACCAAACACACCGACACACATACTTTGGAAGTCATTGTGTGAATAGCAAATTCACAATAAAGTTTTGTTTACTTATCAGGAACCATGATTCCGGCGGCCATTATGTTTCCAAGTAACGTTAATAGGACGGGGATGACGTCATGTAATTATGACGTCATTGATAATGATGATGAACATTTACGTGGTTTTGTGGTGTGGATAATAATTTCGTTTCGTAGGCCATTATTCATACTGAATCTGTATGATTAAGAACTTCAAATCGAACACGATTCAGATAACAAAGACAATAGCTGATATTAAAAAAATTATATCATATATATTTTCGATAGGATTCCTTCTTATCCGCCAAGAACTGTGCATTCCATAAGTCAAGAAAGCAACAAGAGAACAAACAAACATTAAATATTTCCAGAGTTAAATAGGTTAGACGTTAAATGGGTTAGGCGTTAAATGATGATTACTCAATTCTTTTGCCTTTTGCAAAACTTTTGCCATTTACGAGCTATAAAGAACAAAAACTCAATTTATATGTTTTCGATTTTCCACATGAATGAACAATTTTAGATCTAAGGATAAACCCAATAAAAAACAAAACCCTGAAAGATCTAGATCAGATCTAAATCTTTTGAAATTTATTTTCGGTAGGGTTAAAGGCCCCACACGGAGGCTAGATGTCCATCAACCAATTTGACCAAATCCCTATAGGCTTTTGTATCTTCTTTTATGAGAAAGCCAGCGTTGGGCTAATATAATATGTTGAGATTTTTCCAGTTGTAATCTGCTCAGGCTATGTGACATATGGTATAGCCATTTCCATGTTCTGCTTTTGTCCTTCGGTCAATTTCCTTTCTTCAGATTTCTCTCCTTCTGGCTCTAGGCCTACTTCTTCTTCCGGCTCTACTTCTCCCAACTCTTCTTCTTCTGATTCTGTCACTTCCACCGTTTCTTTACTTAAACGCTTTCTGTTATGTTTCATTTTTCCATCTAGTTTACTAATACTCTTTCTTGCTGGTTTCTTTAATATGCCTTTGTCAACCTTCTTCGTGCTTCCCACACCAGCTGTAAACGTTAATATCATTATTCTGTTTCAACTTATCTATAACCGATATAACAGTAACTACCATAGACAATAATGGACATTTTTTTCTGCTCTGAAGAGGCTACGTATTCTCAAATCGATCTTTGCGCTTGAATATCCCAAAAGTTATTTAGAAGTTAAGACACTAGAACATCCCAGAATACGCAGCCTGGTCACAAAAATATTCAATCCAATTATTAGTTGCAAAAGCAGTTATTTATATTGAGCAAAAGAGAAGTTCGGCATCATAAAAAGTGATATTTTGAAATTCTTGCATGGGATGTTAAAGCCAATCGATACAAGAGGATCTACCATGAAGTAAACGTTCCATAGTTAAGGCAAAATAACGAAGTCGACTATATTAAGCTATTCTTGATTTTGGTTTGTTTACTCACATTGATCTGGTGTCTCAGCGGCACAACCACACAGTTGATTACTGACAGTCAACATGCCTGGTACAGGAGGGGGGATTTTACCAGCTTTTAGATCTTCTTGATATTTAGCCTCTAAATTATTTCTGAAATAAACACGTCTTCAATTTCACTAATTGTCAGAGTTTTTCTTTCGTGAATATTCCAAGTTGAATAGTTTCTAGAAATTGGGCTGAAACTATAGCCCTTTACAGAGGAATAGCTCAATCAGCATTGATTGGATTTTCATTCTGCTAAAATTGTGTGCTGTGGATTCGAATCCTTCTGAAAGTAAGAAAATTCTGATGCCAGTGTGTCGGCTGTCATTCCTAATAGCTAACCTGAGTGATGTGATGGCTTATAGAAAATTGGCAAGCTTGACGCCTATAAGATTCATCGTGTGTGCACTTACCGTCTTAATTTCACACGAACAAAGTGTATGATGAAAATTATTGCAATGAATAGGAAAATAGATGCAACAGCAATTGATATAACCATGGCAATAAAGAGTTTAACTTTTTCATCCTCATCATCATCATCGTCATTACCTTTACCATTTTCTCCCAAATCAGATACCAGTCTGATCCGTTTTGGCAAATGTTCTGATTCACCTTCAAATAGCAAACATTTTATGATTATTGAAGTCGTCGTTCTTTTATGACAATAGATTATGGTCTCTACATTGCGTTTCGCTATCACTCAAGTCGTGATTTTATCAAGAAACGGTTTATTTGACAAACGCATATTGGTTATAAACAAATAACGTCTTTAGAACGGGACTGTGGCAGAAAACTTATTAAATTACAATGGAGACAAAAAAATCCGAAACAAAAAGAACGAAATTATAAATAAAATTTTAGTTAGATAGGGGATTGGAAGACTGTCATTACATGCTGAAACTGGTGCACACATCTTGTGTTGAATTTTATTTGAGTTTTGGGAAAAGTCTTACCTACCTTTATGTTTAGTCTTTTCTTTCCTCACATTTTTATCGTTCACTTTTATTGCTTTTTTCTTTGTTGGAAGCACTTTGACTTTCACTGGAATTAAAAGCAGAACGTCTGTTTATAAAATGAAGTTTCAATAAAGAAATTAAAACAAATGAGAGTGAGTCATGATGTATTTAATATATATATATTTTAGGACACTCTTTTAACTAAATTATAAATTTCGTATGCCTTTTTATGATCTACTTACCATCCACTGGATATTTTTCTTCTGTAGTTTCAACTGAAATATAAAGGAATAATGATTAAAATTACTTGAAATATACCTCAAACAAGAAACTTCATTTATTCATGGTTTATTCAAATTTATCCTCTCTCTGAAATTTGTACGGCTTTTCGATCAATCTATAAGATGAGAAAATACAGTGTGTGATAATGTCTGATTATCCAGTCCTTGACCATTCTTCAAAATGGAGAGTCGTCAACATAACTTTCAAACACAGATTAGGCCTATGGATACATATGACTGATCATCTTAGCTGAAGTATCGAGTTTCTGAGACCAAGGTACAATTGACCCCCGGAAAAGTGATTTGTACCTCCAAATGTAGCCTACTCCGCTTCATTTGTAACAAATATATAAATTATGATTTTTATACGTTTTTGTGCCAAATATGTGTCAAAATGCACCAAATAAATGTTATTTTTCACTCCATGGGAGACTTGTGTTTTACGCTTCCAGAAAATGCTGCCGAATTTTGAATCTCAACCTCGACATTGTCCCCAAAATTCAGCCAGTCTGTCCCATTTTTTGTACCCTCTGTCTAGTGAGGCTGGCACCATTTACTTCATCTAACCTTTTTTTTTCTTTTGTTGCATGTCATGTGGCAGTTTCTTCAGCTCATTATTTTTACTTTTAGTTTCTTGGTCTGGCTTTTTCCCTTTTCCTTTTTTAAGTTTTAGTCGATCTTTTATTTTAGACCCCTTCTTCTTCTCTTTACCCTTCTTCTTTTTATCCTTATTTCTACCCCTCTTTTTCTTTCTACCCCTCTTTTTCTTTCTACCTGTCCTTTTCTTTTTACCATTAGATTTCCCTTTCTTCTTTCTAATTCTCTTTCGTGCTCTTTTAACACGAATCAAATCTAGAAACATTCAAAAGAAACACACTATTTATAGTTACTAGATAGGCTACATTAGATGTCTGGTACTAGTAGATCTAGATAGAAATTAGGTAGCATTCAGAATCTCTTTTGTACTTTTGCAATGTGAAACTTTGCTGTCCTTTGATGATAGCCTACAATGCCAATGGGCTGTATTATACTTACTTTTTGATGTTTCATATTTTGGGTGAATTTCTTGTTTGGCCGTCCGCTGTGTCAAGGTAAATTTTCTGACATCTAACAGATTTTCAGCTTTTGTTGAGTTCACATCTAATTTTGTATCTGAAATAGGTGAGAAGGAACCCAGACTGGCCAGATCCAGATCAGCTAAGTCTCCTAAGCCGATTTCATCCGCATCCTTCAGATCAGCGTTTGGAGGAACAGTTTGAGGTCTGCCATAAACAGAAAAAGCACATCCAAGTATTAAACAAACCGACATAAATACTTTACAAGTCATTGTGTGAACTTTAAATCCATAACAAAGTTTTTTCCTTGCCCCATCGTGTTATTTTTCGGTGGCCATTAACACAATGCCTATGTTTCCAAGTAACGTACGTGAAAAACAGAATGACGTCATGTAGGAAACCAATGTCAAAAGTCATCAATGAAAGTTTGTGTTGAAGTTTGAAGACTTATTTTTTAATTTCAAACAGCTCTGTGCTGTGTTTGTACTACGATCTATGCATTCTTCCGCAATTGATAAAAAAATCCAAATCCAAAGAATGTATACGACCATGTATAGTATTGGAAAACTGATGTTTCATTATTTTGGGCGAAAATCATCTAAATCTGTTGGGGATCAGGAGCAGGATTGCATGAGTTAGCCTATGTAGCCTACCTTAAGGATTCGAACAGTGTCAGTCATTCCATGAACATTTCCAATTTGGCTTGAAAATTGCTTTGAGAGATTTCTATCTTTTATTCGCACCATTCTGGATGTATGTTGTAACAAAGCAATTCTATTCAAGCTGTTTCAGGATTACAGGAACCCCATATATATGACAGAAAATGGGAATGATGCAAAGAATAGAAGTTATAAGTGTCTAAAAAGATCATTTTAGGTTATACCCAGTACTGAATCCTTTTAAAAAATATTATACAGAAAAGACATTTTTTTTTATTTGTTTTTATACAAGATAGTTAAAGAATTGATGACAAAAAAAAGTAAATAATAGCAATGATAAAATGGGCATGTTAGTAGTTGATGCTGAATGTGGTACACCTTTTCCTGCTACCTTTATTTTAACTTTATCAGATTTCTGACCTGCACTGGGTTTAGAACTGCCTTTCTTTGAAGAAGAAATATCAACAGGGGTCCAATCATCTTTCTTTTTAGAACCAGCATGGGATATTTCTACTTTCACAGTCTGTTTCTTTCCTTTGGTTTCCTTTTTTCCCTTTTCCGCTTTACCCTCCTTTCCTTTTCCCTCTTCACTCTTCTTTCCTTTCGTTTCTTTTGTTCCCTTTTCCGCTTTACTCTTCTTTCCTTTTTCCTTTTTGTGTTTCTTTGGCGTGCCCATCATGCCTTTAATTACCTCTTCTCCTTCCTTTGCTTTTTCAACCACGCTATCCACTGCCTTTTCCATCATGCTCTCATTTGGCTTTTCTTTCTTTCCATTTTTCTGCTTCATTTTCTTTTTCTTCTTCCCTCCTTTCATCTTCTTTCTCTTCTTCTTCCCCCTTTTCCTTTTCCTTCTCTTTTTCTTACCTTCCTCTCCAGATCTCTTAATGCGAAATTTATTTCCTACAAGTACACGAAACATATAGATTAAGATTGACTACAAATTATATTTCAGACAGGCCACAATCTCAGCAACATAAACAGATCTCATGTCTTAACTATCAAGAGAGAATTTTAAATTTTCTTTTCTGTAAGCTTATAAGCTTACTATATTTTTATATCAATATTTTCTATTAGTTTTAGATGTGTCGAACGTAGTACAAAAAGGCGAAATTCACTTTAAAGTTTGGAAGCGAACGTTAACTTGTCATCTACCAACCCACCAACCTTTAAAGTTTGATTTCTTATTCAATAAACCTCTAATAAATCTAAAACCAATACATCTTGACATGCAAAGTTTGGCTTTTACAAAGCCTCTATGCTTAATCTAGATATTTTGCATAATTATCGGCTACTGCTAGTATAGGTTCAGAAATCAGTTTGCGCTTGTTTGCTCTTAGTCGGACACCAATTTAATGTTTACTGTAGTGGAATTAATTATAATCATTTGAGTTCATGCCATGGAACGAATCAATCTCCGACTATTTACGGATAGATCTATCTTAAAAATCCTACCTTGTTTTCGGGTAGGCCTATTATTCGGAAGATCTAGAGCTGGTGATAGGTTTCTTACATTTTTGCTGGCAGAACCAAGACTGGGCTTTTTTTGGATCGATTTTCCGTCGCTTGTGCATAATTCATTATCTGATTGGTCTTGTTGAGATTGAGAATCAGCTGGTGCTCCTTCTGATGCACGTCGATGAGGCCGCGTCTTTTTCAATTCCAATGAGCCATTATCTTTTGGAGCACTATTCAAATCGCTGAGAACGAGTCCGATGATCCCCAAGAAAAATATTACTCTATACTGGTGTAACATCTTTACGGTGAGGCCGCTTTCTGAAATTAAAAAATTTCATTATAATTCAATCCTGTCATTTTTATGTTTTCAGTTGACAGCCGCCGCCATTACGTTGCCAAGTGCTATTATGACGTCATTGTTTTTTTGACGTAAACTCGGACTAAATGGAACGACAGAACGACGGAATGACAGAGCACAAAGGCATTCGGTTATCTTTATAGAATAAATAGCAATTGGATAATTCCATAAAGAACCATTTTGTATTATCTTGAAAAAAGAAGCTCTTGAAAGGTAGTTAACAAATTGTAAAGGATTTCAAAGCGGGGTTTTCAAGAGACTCAGAGAACTGCAAATTTTTACAACCATCGGGGCTTATAATATATCAAATTTGCTGTTTTGGATTTCAGATTTCGTTTTGCGGTCGTTAGTAGCACTACTTGGTTAAGTAGCTTAGCTTAGCCAGCATAGTTCAAAAATAGAATGCACGTCTGGCTTGAGTAGGACAAATGGTAGGACAAACCACTCTTACTACAGTAATTAGTATCTACAAAATTCCATTATCATTATCATTGCTGATCTCTCTTAATGGTCCAAGCACTATCTACGGGTGATTTTACCTCAATAAACCCAGACGGTTTGATGGTTTCAATGAATTAGGACTATGACTGCAAAAATAGACCACAGAACTGCAAAAGACCTATTAGCGCTTTGTTTTTTTTGTTAAAAATCCCTGCTGAATTTCAGCTAAGCTATTAAATTAGGAATTAGTTAAATTGTCCCACAATTCCTGGTATCTGACACCCAGAAGACATCCTGCCTTTGTCTTTTCTCCGTGGGTTGTTAGAATTCCCATTGTAACTGTGTGGAGACGAAGTTGGGCTGGATGATAGAGGCTAGAAGTTTCAAGGATAATGACGTCATTGCAGAACCATATTAAGAACTAGACAATTCCTGCTTTTTTTTTTTACCGTATCAGCATATTACCTTTTTTGGATGTTTTCTGTTATTTGCGTACTTGACGCAGTGTTCGAGCTTCTCCAGAGGATTTATCACATAATGCAATGGAAAGCCTAGCCTGACCACATTCGGATGTTTCCGAAAAAGTTGTTTCAAACATCTAGCCTGTCTATAATCTACATTCTGGATGGATGGACCGTTTTCTTCGACAATAGTTGAAATTTTTTTGGGACATAACTAAAAACAGACCAAAATGGTGTGATATAAGTTGGAATTTAAGTGCCACTTTATCATTTGAATGAATCACTATGATTGGAAGTATTGGAATTTATGTAATGATTATATTAAACAAAAAGTAAGGATCAGTAATCTCTGTTTTCGGTCAAAACAGTATCATTTCAAGAAACAAGTGTTCTGAAACCAGGGACACGTTGAACCAAGTCCACAGCCCCCCAACATGTAAAACTTTGCAGGAGAGCAAATTGTTTTTGAAAAAACAATTCCTGGGGAAGGGACCTCAACTCACTAATTAAGAAACCAATGAAATTCTTGTCCAGTAAATATAAGTCTGATAATATATCAATATTTAACTGTAGACAAATTGGACACCAGACCTTCATTTTATAAAAAAGCTGAAATTGAGCTTCTTTAGCTGGTAAAGAAAACACAAGTAATGATCCAAACAGCAAATTGAAACTCTAAATACAAAATAACAGTTTGGCAGCAAATGAACTAATTATATCAATAATAATTGAGGTAATATTTCATTATGTAAAGTGGTATCAGGTGTCCAGAAGAGTAAGCATAATACCCTGCCTTGCACCAAACCAGTCATTACTGCTTAATATATTACACACAAAATTGGACGGTAATATGAGAAAGTCAATAAGTGGACATGACATTTTATTCTATTAACACTGAATGGATATCACAATATACATTCAATATAAACCAATAACATTATACAGTAATAATTATACAAACACTATAACTGACCAACTACTTCTTTTTCTATCAGAGCATTCTTGTCTGCAATACTACAGTTTCAGTATAACTAAAAAAAATGCTCTTCTTTTGTCTTGTACAGTAGCCAAATTAGTTACATTTAAAAATTAAAAAAAACATAAACATGCCAAGATTCAAATCAAATTAAAACTTTTGTTTCCTTATGTTCATGTTCAAATCAAATATAAAGGTCTAATCTTCAATTAAAGTCAAGACTCGTCCAAGACAAAAACTTCATGGGTCTCAATGGTCCTAATGTTCAATATTAACTAAAATGATATATTTATTGTGGTTGATCCAACAGCATTAAATGTATACAGATATACTATGTAATATAATATAAACATACAAAAATATCAAAATGTAAGGATATTGTTTTTAAAATTTGGTTAAGGATAAAATAATGGAAACTATAACATTAACCAAAGACTTGTTGGAAACCTTGGGATCTGTGGTAGCCTTTATCGTCTAGGCCCTCTTGTCTGTACACAACTGTAACGAATGTCGAAGACAAGAGAAGTCTGGATGCCATAAACTAGATCTCCAGACATATTCTTAATAACCCAACAAATCTTTGAAATCAGTGATAAGCTTATACACAAACATAGGTGAGAAAATTAAAAATTAGTAACAATCTGAGCACTTATAATAGTTAATAATAAATAAATAAACAATATAGATATAACAAAATAAATATAACATTAGACAATATATAAATATAGACTAGAATTTATTAGGATTAACAACAAACATCATTATACAGAAAATGTATAAGAAAATCAGTTAATAATAACATTTTGGCAAGAGTAATAATAGATTTAAATATGGGACAATAATTCATAGTAGAAATGTAAATTTAAAGTGATATAGTCCTTGGAATAATTTGCTTTACCAGGTAATCAAACACCATTCAGATGTCTATTATCATCTTTCAGACTATAAAAAAACATTTCTTCATTAAATTATTACTGATTGTAATTACACCTGGAAGTTGTCAAAATTATGTACCCTGTCCTGATAACAGGTAAAAATTATTATCAGACATAAATATTAATGTTCTGGAATTTCAGATTGCCATCATATTCACCACTGCATTAACAGAATGATGAGCCAAACATCAGATTTCTATTTTGAAAAGAGACAACAAACATATTTCTATTTTGAAAAGTGACACAGAAACCTAAATTAAGTTCATTAGTCGTATGACAAATATTTAGATGACTTTCACAGTGCTTAACAGAATTTTTAACATGGTTTAAACAGTATTACTATAAATATTTCTGTATCTCTCTACTATTGATGTATTGAGCACTATTTTAACGGTGGAAATATTTTATTTTATTATTAAATAGATATTTAGAGGGATATTGACTATTTATCTTTGGACAGTGCTATATTAGTAATTACTGGTATTATTCATTAGTACATAACAAAATATATCTTCAAATACACAACTTGTAGAATTATACCCCTTATAGTATAATTATAGATACCACTTATAGTATAATTATAGATACCACCTATAGTATAATTATAGATACCACTTATAGTAATTATAGATACCACTTATAGTAATTATAGATACCACTTTCATAATAATAATAATAGTTTTTTCATACTCAATGATACAAATGGTAATACAGATACTTCCACCCTGAAATATCAATTGTAGTCTTATATATTTGTGATATCTATATTCTGTCCAATACATCAGGATCTAACCAGTCTTATTAGTAGGCCTAACATTATTCAACTTGACCAATAATCAATTGTACTCTAGTACTCTATATAGGAGAGAAGAAAAGATGGGAGTAACTGTACTTGCTCAATCATCATTAACAGTACTCAAAGTAAGTAATGTTAATATCAGCCAACTGTATCAGAAGTTAAATGGATCAAGACTACTATTGATACATCAGGATGGGTATATTTATAGATCCTTGTAACTTGATTTCTAGTTCTCTGTCATATTCTGTTTGAAAATTTTAAAATTGTGTTAGTTTATCAGATGTAAAGTTTTGATCATCTACTTAAATCTTTGCTCACAACTTTGCATAATATGAAACTCTTTTGCATAGATATAATAATTGTGCCTTTCAAAATTCTGCATATCTACTGTTGTAGCAGAACTAGCAATCAAGTCAACCTATATAATATCTAACACACAATACAACAAAATACAATTAATATATCAAATATAAAATATTGTAAAAGGAGCCATCTTGAAGTTTGCATTGTTACCATAATGCAGGCTAATAATCATTTTTAAATTTTCTGACAACATTCAAGTAATATTTACTCACATGTGGTTTTGACTATTAAAATCCGTACAGTCAGTGTTCTATATAAACAAAGACTAGTAAGTAATAACGCCATCAGAATATTAAAATTTGCTTGACCAGCTGAGCTCAAATTTCAGTCAGCATTAAGACTGTGCCATGCCACAGATATTAAGCATTGTAAACAATAACCCCCACTTCTATCCAGTTGTTCTGCTTATGGATTTTGCATGTGTTGAAACAAAATATGAGCTCTAACAAGTTAAAATGTATGTTCTGTATCTTGTGTAGGTGTTCCATACGACCTTCCTAAAGTCAGATTGGATAGATTTAAATCTTCTTGACTTATCAAGACATCTGATAGGTCAGACTGACAATCACTATCATCTAATCTATAATTTGATGATCGATAATA